GTGATTGTTTCAGTTATTCGTAGATTCGAATCAGCCGTGCGATATGAATATATTTACCACGTCCACCAAACGGTCTTTCCGGTTTGAATCAGTTGTACGCTCTACTGAGTWTTGACCGCTGCACTATCCGTGCCAAGCAGCGCCGGCGTCGCGCCGCTCTAGCGATTATTTTTGTCGCGACGAAGGTTTTGGTGGACGTCAATCAAGGCGTTTCCATGACATTCTGTAGGCACGTGCCCTTATAGCTTTGTGTTTTCCGACAATGTTATGGTAACGCCTTGTGATTGACGTCCACCAAAACCTTCTTCGTCGCGACAAAAACAATCGCTAGGGGGCGCGCGTGATTGAGAATGGCTGTAAAGGAGAGTAATCGCTAACGAAGCGACGCCGGCGCTGCTTGGCGCGGATAGTGCAGCGGTAAATACTCAGAGCGTACAGCTGATTCAAACCAGAAGGACCGTTTGGTGGACGTGATAAATATATTCACATCGTACGGCCGATTCGAATTAACCAGAAAGACCGTTGGTTGGAAAGGACGTTTATTTTTAAAGATAAGTGAACACTATTTAGTATCCATTTAGAAACAAACATATATCAATTCAATTAGAAATCTACGAATAACTGAAACAATCACACATATTTAAACCCAATCCGTCTGTCCTGGCGCCCTTGGGTAAATAAATATAGCCTCTATTTCTTTACATGGTCCTAGCCCTACGGAAGGGCGTATCTAAAGCCCTCATTTCGAGCATGCGCAGTAAGATATAATAAGAAAAATGGACATCATCGGGGTACGATTTGGTGATTTGGATGACGTTCTTAGGGTCTGTCACGCAACTTTTGCAGGAAGGTTTACGAAAATATATCGTTTCTGATTCATGATTTAAACTCCAATCGCTCGTTTCTGATAAGCTAAGAACTTAGGCCATAATTTTGAAAAGATTCCATACGAGAGACGCCGTTTTTAGTGCCTACTACAAAGTAGTAGACACTACTAGTACTCACTATGTAATGGCCGTACAAACAAACCAGAAAAAATGGAGTTAGAGTTTTTTACTATCCAAAAAGTAGTAGGCACATGCGCTTTATAAGCGCCTTTTTTTGTTGTTGCGATAGTCTGGATTGACCAATCAGCATRAACCTTCTCGATTTTTAAATTTGTCAATTTTTGGAGAAGGGGTATGACGTCACGTCATATCACGTGGTCAKATGACTCACACTGACAAGGTTCGCCCATTGTTCCAAGTTTCGTTACCATAGCATTTATGGCGAATATCGGCGATAATGTTCGGTTCTTAAGTCACGTGATATGTGACGTCACGCCATATGTTACGTATTCAGATGATAACAACACAAGTCTCACCAATGCTAGCAAGTTTCGTRACCATGGCATGCTTCGCTCCGGAGTTATGGCCAAGGGGCCACCAGATTCGTGTGGGGCCACAAGATGCCGGCCACCAGATGTAGGTGGCATRTGCTAACCTCACTTAAATTTTTGGGAAGAAATATTCTGCTCAAGTAAWTAAGGAGACGTTCGTTGGAATGGAAACGTTGCGTGACAGACCCTAAGATCGTATGCGTTAGTGGACTAGATACTTATTGGCWAATAAGTTTTTTCATTTCATTTCATTTTCATTTCAAGGTATTTTTTCATTTCATTTTTGTTGATATGTTTAAAAGTTCTATAATTAA